GCGGCGGCGGCGGCGGCGGGCGGGGAGCGCGGCGGGCGGGGGCTCCGCCTTGAGCGTGGGGCGCTGAGTTGAGAGGCGCGGAGGCTGCTAGGGCGCTAGGGGGGCTTAGGAGGCAGCACGGCGACGCCTCCCCGCCACCCGCCGCAACATGGGCAGCGCGGAGGACGCAGTCAAAGAGAAACTGCTGTGGAACGTGAAAAAGGAGGTAAAGTCGGGGCAAGGACCCCCGGGGCTCGCGTCCGTGCCCGCGGGCCCGGGACTGGGGGGGCTCGAAAAGGTCCGCGCTCCCCCTTCCCGGGCGCGGGAGCTCACGGCCCTGGGCCGGGCGGGGGCGGGGGCGGGGTCCTGGACTGGCTGCGGCTCCCGCCTCCCTCCCGGATCTGGGAACAGCACCCCTCGGTTCGAGGGGCCAGGCCGGCCCTCCGACGCTTGTTTGCTCCGCGATCCCGCAGTTCCCCACCCTGTGACGGCAACAGCCCTGGGAGACCAAGGTCGGGGGAGGGGTGGCGGCGATTTCTGGAGAGGTGGTGCTGCCCATTCATTGCCCGCGCCGCCTGGGGAGGGGGCGGGGCCCCGCGCGGCCTCAGACAACGCTAAACCAGTGGTTTGGGGGCTTAGCTTGGGTTTGCCCTACACCCGATTCAGGAATCCGTCTGGGAACTGAGTCGCGGCTTCGGCTTCGGGAGGGTTCGTAGCACACCTCACTGCTTCTCACTCCACGCCCACGTCCCTACCCAGAGACCACGGGGGAGGCGGCTTGAGAATGGTTTTTAAGACTCAGATTTTTTTCCCCCGTTTGAGGGAACCCTCAACCCAAATGTCAGGAAGACAGGAGTCCTCCCCTCTACTAATGTCTTTTACCTTGGCCCTGCCCTAAAGCCCATTTCAATTTCATTGTGGCGGCGGTGGGGGGGTGGGGTACCCATATGAATGACTCACAGCGTATGAGAGCTGGAGAGCTCAAACCTGCAGCGTGGATTAGAATGGATTAGGCCTCTGGAACCATGAACTCCGCGGGTACCTCTGTGGCTGTCTTTTACCAGATGTGCAATCTCCATGAGGGCAGGAAACCCGTCTGTTTTGTCCACTGTTCTGTATTCAGGACCTGGCACACAGTAGGCATTCAATGAATATTTGGTAAATATCTTGGAGACTGCAAGATGGTAGGCATTCATAACCTTGGAATACTCTGAACCTAGCTCTGTGTGACTTGAATAAGTCACTTAACCTCTCTGAGTCTTAATTTCTTCATCCCTGAAAGAAGGATATGTACTTCATATATAAAAGTTTACCATATTGGTTCCTTTACCCCTTCCTGGAGTTTCAGGATTGGAGAAGACTCTGGGTTCTTAAACTTCTGGAAGGCTCTGGATGGTTCTCCTGCATTAACTATGGCCTGGCTACTATGCCCTAACATTTATTTGTTCCCTTCCCTCTTGCTGGCAAAGAAGTAGTTGAAGCCATCACCTTTCCAGCTGTGTGTGAGAACTCCCTTGTGACTTTCCTGTGAAGTGGCCAAGAAAGTATTTTAGGCCAGGAGTATTATCAAATCGGCATTTAAACTCCAGACCTGGTCTCCCCAAGGATAAGCGAAATCCCAAGTCTCAGGTTATCCTAAGGAAACAAGCAATCTAGTGACAGAGACTCATATGAACAGTATAAACAAGAACAAAAAAGTAGCCATACCTAAACTATGGACAGATGTGCTAGGATTGTTGGTGTGATCCAAATTTAGGGTTGATCGGTGATATAGGAAAGATTTCTTAGAAGACCGTGATTCTTTTTTCAATACTTAGAAGGCTCTTTATACTACTCCAAGAATGATTCCTAAACAATTGTGAGAAATGTCCAAAATATGTCACAGCCACGTATATTACCTGACAAAGTTTAACCTTCTCTCAATTCTTAACTCCTTTCTCCCTTCAGCACTTGATTTAGAGAGAAACATATCCTTTCCTCTTCTATGAGTGGAAACAGTGGGGATAATTTTGGGCAAGGCTGGTCTTTCAACACAAAACCTCTGGTATAATTCTAGAGTCATCTATAGGTCCTTCTAACCCCCAGATCTGCCCTACCCACCTGTTTCAGATGCCTGCAGGTCTTTGAGCTGTGACTTTATGCTCTGTTTAATAGAAACACCCCTTGGGAAGAAATCTTTTAACAGTTTAGAGTGCAGGATCAATCTGATTTCCCTCTACCTAACTGCTAATCATGAGCAGTTTCCAATAGAAGCCTCCAGGTCCTTCCTCCCTCCTCCCCAGGCTTTAGAAGCTTTACCATTCTCCAAACTGTACAGTCCTAGGTGAGAGGACCTTGGGAACAAGGGCAGCATCAGAACACTGCATGCGATGTCCAAAAAATGTCAAAGACACACTCTGCCCAGAGCTTACTTTATCTGTGAGATTTTATACTGGGGTTGAGGTAATCCATCCCTCTAATCTCCAGTATTACTATCTGTGTCTTGGCAGGTTCCCCCAGGACATCAAAAATGCTTGGCTTAAGTGTTGGGAGCAACTAGAACCTCATACATTGCTAATGGGAGTGTAAATTTATAACCACTTTGGAGAGCTATTTGGCGAAATCTAGTAAAGTGGAATATAGGTATCAGAAATTCCTTGTCTAGAAATATAAATCCAAGGAAATGAGCACCTATGTTCACTAAAAGACATATCTGTAATGTTCATAGTAGCGCTATTCATGACAGCCCCAAATTGGAAACTACCCACATGCCAGTCAATTGCGCTATGTTAACACAATAGAGAATGAATGATCCACAGCTACATACAACATGAACACATCTTACAATCATACCAGAGAGCAAAAGAAACCCAGGCACAGGGGCACTTGGGTGGCTCAGTCGGTTAAGAATCTGCCTTTTCGGCTCAGGTCTTGATCCCAGGGTCCTGGAATAGAGCCCTGCATTGTGCTCCCTGCTTGGCGGGAAGCTTGCTTCTCCCTCTCCCACTCCCCCTGCTTGTGTTCCCTCTCTGGCTGTGTCTCTCTCAGTCAAATAAATAAATAAAATCTTTAAAAAAAAAAAAGGAAACCCAGTCACAAAACACTACACACTGATTTCATCTATAAAAAGTATAAAAACGCACAAAACAACTCTATGATAAAAGAAGTCAGGATAGCGGGAATCCTTGAAGGGAGTAGTGACTGGAAGGAAGTATGACAGTGGTGGGTGCTTGAGGGTGCTGGTCACATGTTCTGTTTCTTCATCTGTCTTGGTTTGGCAGGTGTGTTCAACTTGTGAAAATTCATCAAGCTTATAATTATGATATATATTTTTCTCTATAGTTTTACTATCCATTAATAAAAAAAGTTTTGTGTGCGTGTAGTTTTTTTAAAAGTTCTTTCTTAAAGAAAGATGTGACTGCTCATCTTACAAGGTATTTGGAAGCTTTTATATCCAGGTAGGAACCCAAAACATCAGGATTTTATTGAGACAGAAAGAAGGCTGGGCTTGCAAGCATGTGGAGAGTGTCTCTGAGGCCTGGATGAACCCTAACCTTGGAGAAGAGGGAGTAAATGAGGGGCAGGTTGTTTGTCTATACCCTGTAGTGAGCTAGTTTGTCCCTAACGTACAGTGTATCTGCCCAGAAGCCCTTCTCCAGCTAAGTACAGATGAGCAAATGGCATCCTGTCCTTCTCCACAGTGGGGTACTTCCTCCTGTACTGAAACATCTGCACTGATTGCTTGTTGGATTTATGACATCTCTCTTCCTGGTTGCCTTTCCAAGAAGACACTTTGCTTCCCCACCCCTCCTATCCCTATGTACTCTCTATTCTGCAAGTGTCCGAATCCAGGCCAGGAGAGCAGGGCCAAGCCGTTTACTTGCCCACAGGCCTTTGATCAGAAAAATAAATAAGATGTTGCCCATTTGTCCACAGGTGAAGCAAATCATGGAGGAGGCTGTCACCAGGAAGTTTGTGCATGAGGATAGCAGCCACATCATTGCTCTGTGTGGTGAGTGACTGGGGGCGGTGGGAAGTGGGTTTAGAACTGCAGACACTGTCTTAGGCCTAGGAAAGAACAGTCCTCAGGTTTAGTAGTTTTCAAATATGGCTGCAAATTAGAATCCAACTCTGAAACATTTGAGATCTCCCTGGGCCTGGTCCCCGACCTACTGAATCAGGATCTCCAGGGCCCAAGGATCTACATATATCTAGTTCCTTTGATCCTTTGTGTGCATCAGAGTCACCGGAAGTGACTCTGTTAAAACACAGATTCCTGAGTCCCAACCCTGGAATTTCTGATTCTGGTAGGTCTGGGGTTGGCCTGAGAATTTGCATTTCTGACAGATGGTTCTGATGCTGCTGGTCCAGGGACCACACCTTGAGAACCACTGACCTAGGTAATTCTGGTTTGGGAATCACTGCTCTGGTTTATTTTTACTTTAACTTTGGGGGAAGGGTTTGTAGTTTTGGGTGCTTTCTGTGCCACATCTACTTTCTAATTAATCCCACCCGCGTTGCTCTGGCATCCCAGCTCTCCAAGCACTGGATTGGGTGCAAAACAACATGGGCTACGATAGGAGGGAAAGCCAAAAGCCCTCCCGCCTTACAAGGGAAAAAGTCAGTAATGAAGCATCCCTTTCTCCTCACTGTGAAGACTTCTGCCTTTGCAGGGGCAAGCCTGTCTCCACCTACAATAGAGTTTTCTTGGATTTCCAGGAATTCAATCTTCCTTTCAGCTCCCTTTCTGAGGGGACAGCTTGCCATCTCTATGTTGTTTTCCTTGGCCTCTGAGATTGGTGTTTGGGATTTCTGGAAGGGAGGTTGTGTATTTCTGAGAGGAAGGAACAAAAGGAGCAAATAAGGGAAAGAGCACTGTTTGACAGTACCATGGTGAGGCAGATAGAGCTGCCCACCATCAGTCTAGCAACAAATGCTGAGGGTCTGCCACGAGCCAGATCCTGTTCTCCGGATAGGGAAATAGCAGTAACAAGATAGAGTCTCTGCCCTGAAGGGCTTACATTTTGTGGGGAGAGAGAAAACCAAATGCACACATAAATGTATCCTGTAATAAAGGTATGAAGAAAAATAAAGCAGAGAGATGAGGGAGAGCAGCTGGGGAAAGATGGCCTGTGAGCAGAGCCTGAGTGACAGACTGAGGATTCACGTGAATCCTGGTGCTCGCTTATTTACGTCATCTTGGACAAGTTTCTTAACTTCTGTCACCCTTAGTTTGCTCCCCTAAAAACAGGACGGATTCCTATCTCAAGGAATTTTTGTGGGGATTGAGATGATGTATGTGAGCATTTCTAGCACTGTAAGAGCTCAGGAAATGTCCATCTTTCCTTCTTCTTTGGATGTTGAGGCTGAAACTAGGTTTGCAGGATTTGAGTTCCCACCATCTTCCTTTCGGGTAAGTTTCCCGATTCTTTGAGATGTTATGACTCCCAGAGTTACAAGGAGCAATCTAATCTCACCTTTTCTCAGGCAGAACCTACATTAGGGGAGAAGCATGGTAGTCTGCAATAAGTGGCTTCGAAGAATATTAAGAACTCTACTCCTTTCCACCTGTGTTGTGTGCCCCTGACATCAGCCACTATCTGTCGTTGTCACCAGAAGGGCTCTGCTGGTGGCCCAGTTATGCATGGCTTAATTCCTCATCCAGACCACATACAACAAATACAGAAAACAATAAAATAGCACAAACAGCTTGTGCGTGGGCACCGCATGTGGGTGGCCAAGGGGGAATAGGGGAAAGAGAGGCAGGGAGAAGAGTTGTGGGTATCCCACATTCAGGCCAATTAGGATGAGCAAACTGTCAGCTCTCCTCTGATCAGTCCAGGGGCCCACAGGAAGCAGTGGAGCTTTCACTTTTGTCTCCTGCCTGGAAGCCCAGGGCTCTTTCTAGCAGGCAGAGATACTACCCTCAAAAGGAATGATACTTCTACTTTCAGCCAGTTGTAGTTGCTGAAACAGAACAGGGGTCTGTGAAATAGACCCAAGTCTCCAGGGTTCTGCTGGATCTCAGGAGGTGCCTTAGGTCTGCCAGTGCAAACCTAAATGTCCACAATCAGATGAGAACAGTCCACACAAGAAGCTGTCTGGGTGTGAGACTGCAGGCAGTGGTGGTGGGATCTGGGGTGAACTGAGTATTGCTTTGCCACCATTCAGCTCCTGCAGGAATGCCAGCCCAGCCTTGCCATGGCCTTTGTTTTATTTTAGAGAAGCCATAAGTCTGAGTTTTTATTTTCAAAGGTTGACAACTAATTCCCATTATGTATTTATTTTTTTATTTATTTTAAGTAGGTGCCAGGCCCAGCATGGGGCACAATGCGGGACTTGAACTCATGACCCTGAGATCAAGAGTTGGATGCTTAATGGACTGAGCCACCCAGGCATCCCAAAATTCCCATTTTTAAAAAACGTGTGGGCCAAACAAAAGGCATCTCCAAGCCTCTGCCAGTTTTGCTGCCCCTGCCTTGGGCTCAGTGCTGTCACTGAGGGGAATGTTAGCAGGAGGGGTTGCCAATAGTATAGAGCTAAGTCAAGCCCATGGGAAAAGGAATCCTTGGGCTTTGTCAAAATTGGTATTCAGTGGTGAGGTAAATCCCAATTTGGGCTCAAAATAAGGTATGTTTAAAGCAGTGTCTATCAAACTTTTTTCCTGTCTGCAAGCCATTTACATGCATCATACAAAAGAATCATAATCAGGGATTTTTGGGAGGAGGTAGAGGAAAGAATAGAGATGTATTGATGGAAAACTGCACCCCTTTGGTTTTTTGAAGATTTTGATGTGCCAGTCTCCCTTACCCTTGGGCAAATGCTCAGAAATGCATTTCTAGTCTGAAGTAGATCCAGTCTTATACTGGGTCCTGCTGTTGTCCCAACCACATCCAGAATTCAACTTTGTTCTGGGAGGAATTGGAGTGCAGAGAAGGTACTGAGAGATCTGAGCAGAGCAAAAGCTGTGGAGGTTGGATTAACCACGGAGTGGCCACATTCCCTAGAGCCTTGGAGAGCACTGGGGCCCTGGGCCCCTCTGTTCTTGGCAGGGGAGGGCAGGGCCTGGGCAAGATGAGCTGCTCTCAGCTTCCTTCGAGTAGAGATACTTGAAATGGAAACAAGACTCTTCCTGGAGAGCCTTAGAAATGGAACTGAAGAATCCCGGGGGTGAGCCCTGACCCTGGGCAAACCCAGGAAAGTTGTGCCAGACCCCTGTTTCTATTACCCACGGGAGGAGGCAGACTCCCAGGACTGGTGAGAAGTGTGTGTTTCTTGTGTGTGTGCTGTGGTTGTTCCTAAACCTGTTTGTCCAGAAGCTGGTCAGGCCCCTATAGGTGGAAACCTTGTGAGGAAGCTTTGCTGGGCAAGCCCTGGCTGGCAGTGGGGAGGGCTTCTCTGCGTGCTGTTCTCCAACCACACAGCATGGCTGTCAGGATCAGGCCCGCAGCCAGAGGCTGGGGCTTGGGGAGTAGGCCCAAACCTACCACTGTAGGAAAGGGGTCTCTGATATCTCACTTTTTTATCTTAAAAAGGCTTGTCAAGTTTGCATTTCATTTCATAAAATGGTCTTTGAAATGTTTAATATAAAGACCTACTGTTGAATCAAATTAATGCACCTTGTTTTTCCTGTGGCTTCTTAAATCCCCAGATGTAAGCTGATGTCTCCTGCCACCTCCTACCCCAAGGGCAAGGTGCTTTTAACTTTTTTTAAGTTTTATTTATTTTATAAGTACCGCACGTAGGGCTTAAACTCGCATCCCCAAGATCAAGAGTCTCCTCCTGTTGAGCCAGTCATGTGTCCCATGGTGCTTTTAACTTTTGCTTTTGGGCAACTCAAGGTTAGGTTAAACACCAAACTGTCCCAGATTTCGCCTTTGAACTCTGCATTTGTAATAATAATATACAATGCTTAAAGAGGACACTTTACTCTCTTCCCGTCAGGGATCTGAGGTAATTCAGGCATCAACCCTTGAGCACTGGAGAAGCCGCCATTTCTCTGGATCTGCCCTTCCTCGGGCTCACGGCTAGGTGTGGCTGCCTCCACAGTATTTCTGTGTGCTCTGCTCTGATTGGGCACTGAGTTTGGATTTTAACCTTTGCTGGGTAAAACAGGTTTATAGAGCTGGCCTGGCACAGCAGGTTCTCAGACTCGTAATGTCTCTTCCGCTCCGCACGCAAGGCATTGGGGGCAGGGCCCAGGCCCAGGTCAGTCCTGCCCCTCAGTCACTGGGGTCCCAACTCTCCCTGCGCACATCCTCAATCTGCGGATTGTTGCTTCGGGCTGAAGATGGGCTGTGATGGGAGACAGGGGTGGAGTCTGTGGAGCTGGGAAGAGCAGCAGGGCTTTATTAACAACCCGCTCCCCGTTGCTAAGCAGCTTTCATTAGACTGGAAGGTCGGCTGCGGTGATGAGCTCCTCTGGGGAATGGTGAGGGGATGCTAATGAGCTGGGAGAGAAGCAGGTGCTCTGGAAGGATTGCCTCTCACCTGAGACGTTGCAGCCAGAGCTATTTCAGCACATGCTGAGATTCAGACTCCAGGCAGTTTTTAGTCTGTGAAAGGGATTCCTTCTCTCTTCTTCCCACCCATACTGAATGAACAGCTCATTCTCAGGGTATCTGGCTTCTGCCTTTCACCTGCAAAAAATCGAGTAGGAAGGAAGGCCCCTGTGGGGAAGTGACTCCTCTCACCCTGCATTGGGACGAGGCTGTGGGCCTATGGTGGTGGTCTGTAGCCCAGACACTAAATGTGTGACCATGGCCGGTTACTCAGCAGCTCTGAACCTACCCCAGAGGGTTGATGTGAGGACCAACGGAGTGACACAGGTAAAGCACACAGCATGGAGCCAGGTACACAGTAGGTGCTCAGTAAATGTTGCCGTTATCATCATCACCACCACCAGCAACTTTCTACTTTGTTCTTCAAAGTGATCCTACAGGGTGGGGAGATGGGTGAAATAGGTGAAGGGGATTAAGAGGACACTTATCATGGTGGGCACTGAATAATATA